TCACTGTGTCACAATATGTTAACACAATAGCAGCTACAAATAGTCACTTCCACAGCACCAACAACTACATGTTTGTGACTGCTCACTATCAACAGTAATACAAAGTAGTGGTTTCTTCAGTGCTAATGCTAACACCACAATGAATTATGGGACATCTGTACTTTTTCTTTAGTTCAGATAAAGACAACAGTCACTGGATACTTTATTCAACCACACAATAATACTCTGGAAACACAAGTTGAACTCACCTGGCCTCAAACTTGCCAATCCTGGTGGAAGCTGTGGTCACTCCCATGGCCTCCTGCCCACCTACAACACAGACACAATTACGAGGTCCCAATACAGTCAGACCCAGTCTTTGTACAAACTCAGAGAGTTCACTACAGCTCTCTATTTGTAAAAAAAAAGAGAGTATTTGTATGAAAGGTAAATTACCCCGTTAATGTGTTTATAAAGATCCATAATCTCAGAAAATCAACAATTGGAGCTCCTCTACCTGGACCACAACTGCTACCACAACGGCTTCAACTTATACCAATGTTGGCTACAATTTAACATAGGAAGCTTAAGTTTTACCTTTTGTGTTTTTGAACACAAGCTAGCATGTTAACTTACCGACAAAAAGTTTACCTAACGCATTAGTGTCGATAAAAATGACTAAACACCACATAAACACATCCATTATTGATCATAATCGATAAAAGTTTGTTTGTGATCAGGTTATCTTTCCTCTCGTGACTTCCATACACACTCGAAGACGACTAAATGTTTGTTTGGTAAACGAGATCAACATTTCCGGTTTACATTCAATGCCGTCTCTTGCTTTGCATGCGCAAACTATCGAGAGGAAATGACAACAATTTAAAGGTCCGTAAATGTGTGCGGAAAGAAATAAAATAGATAAATGACGACATTAACAAAAAACAACAAGGTTGTGGTATCAGTACAGACAACTCAGAAGAAATTATATTTAACCTGAACGAAAAGCAGATAATTCAACAAATGGAATTGCGTGCAATAACAGAAAATCATCTCCAAAGTTTAATTCTTACATTTCGGTTTTTCAAACATTTGTCTTTACCGGACGAACCATCTGCCTTGAGTGTTCATAGAAATGAAAACGCTGGACCGCAGCACTAAACACACGCCAGCAGGTTAACTTACCACCAAAAAAGGTTTTTCGAGAAAAAACTAATGCACTAGTGTAAATAAATGGCTGAACATCACATAAAACTACTCCATTATGTAGTTTAAACGTAAAAAGTTTGTTTGTATCAAGTTATCTTCCCCTCGTGACATCCGCACACACTAGACGACGACCAACTGTTTGTTGGAAAAACCAGAGCGCGCCTTTCCCGTATAATTTAAAAGCTCTTGCTACGCATGCGCGAACCAGGGAGAGGAAATGACGTAAATGTCATCATTAATGTGAAAGAATTTGTATACCAGTGTGCACAAATAAATAAAAAATAAAGTAAAAACAGAAATAAATACAGATATACATATCTGTATTTATCTGAACATATGAGAAGTTTCTTAATAACATTTTAGATTTTTAATCACATCCATCCACTAGGTAATGCAAATTCTATACATTGAATTTTTAATTTGCGTGTGATTAACTCCATGACATAAACAACACAAATTAAACTAGTGAATGTATTAATGATAAATTAGAAAACACAGTGAGTGAGAGTTCCAGCCCTAATTTGCCTACTTTTAATTTTTTTGTTCCCCCACTTTTTCCTCTTTCCTACCCTTCTGTTATACCCCTCCTCTGGCTAAGTGGTTGAGGAAGCAGACTTGGGTCCGAAAGGCTTGGGGAGTTCACCAGCTGCTGAGGTGCACTGAGCTCCCTGGGTGCTTAAAGCTGCCACCTGTTCACTTTGGGTTCGTTGTATCCCTGTGGTACAATGACAATACAGAACATAAAAAACAAACAAAACAGAGGTCATTTTGTTGTTTGTGCTGTGTCACAATGACAAATAATTCACTTTTAAATGCTGAGAAACTTTTTTTTTTCAAAACGGGGTCTGTGCAAACAAACGACAGTGTGAACTGACAGAACAGTAAATCGCACGTATTTAGACTAAAGCTTTAAACCATTTCAAAAATGCTAGAGAACTTATTCATCATTTTGTCAGGAGAATGACAATTGTGTACTGCCGTCTGTCACACACTGCTCAAGACCTCTGTCGTAGGAAGTGAGCCTATACTGTCAGGGTCAAATAAGTTGAGCTCAGTGTGGTGGATCACAGGGAAAGTGATAGGTTTTTAGTGATGTGATGCTTTGAATGATAGCGTGGACATTGATATGCTACACCCAACGGTGATGCTTATGACTTTCACCGCTGCTTGGATGTAAAATTCGATCCCTCTCCATTTACAGATTATTAAATTTTAACAGCTTTTGTTTTAAAATACAAGTTTCAGGTGAGTCCAGAGGCTGTGGCCTGCGTAGCTTGTTTGGCCCTCATGTTGCCAGGGAGAGACCAAACAGACATTTGCTGTAACCTTATCATAAGTACATGTTTGTCCTGACAGGGGAATATCTATCCTCCATCCACACATTTCACCCCTACTACTCCTACGATGTAGCTTTTCGAGGACACTCCTCTTTGCTTACGACTCAGTGGTGTGAGATGGAACTCCACCCTACAGACAGCAGCTGACCAATAGAAGACAGCAATTTGTAAGTGAATAGTGAATAAAGATGAAGATGTGGATGACAAAGAACATACCTACGGCAGGTGTCATCTGTCACCCGGCCTCAGGTGTATCTGCCTATTGTCTCCTGGGTACAACCTATTACCACACACCGATACTGAGCCTTGTTTGTACAGCAACGTGTCAACAGTGAGGCTGATTCTCTTGACTCCCAGTTACAAATGCATTTCCACTCTAGGTGTCATGAGTGGTTAAAATCATCAATTTACGACCTTAGGTTTTAGAAAAAAATCTAGAAAAATCATGTGGTTTTATATCGGAGTTGACATTGCCGGGTGTGGAGTCGTCAACTGTGGAATGTGAGTTGTTGTTCCTGACAGTCAGCATACCACAGGTGTGTGTGTGTGTTCTGTGATGTCACACAGTTTCACAAAGGTTATCATATTGACTGGAAGTCCTTAAATAAATGTTTCAAAGACAACTGTGCCATTGTTGCTTCGGTAAATGTACTTGTACTGCATTACATACAGTACATATATTCCAAAGGTAGCGTAGAATCTACTGGCATGTCAGAAAGGTTTTGTTGGGATAGAATGTTCGAGCCACATGAAACCCACACAGATACAAGTTTCACTGTGACTAGACCATGAACCTGACAGTTTTGACAACTTTGTGACCATTTTTAACTGATTTATTTTAAAGGAGTGTCTCTTGTGTCTCTTAGTTACAGTATGCAGTATCTGAGTCCAGTTTAAACAGCATCACAACAGCAGTTTCTGCGTCAGGGGTCTGAGAATCTTCCCTTCTTTAATCTGCAGAGCCATTATTGGACATGAATTATGGAGGAGGTTTATTAGGTTACAGCAGGATGTCAGATTATTTAACTGAGCAGTAATACCTCATCATGAGCTTTCAAACTTTACGACCTCATAAATTATTTCATTGTTTGAAATAAGTTGTATTCAACCTTTGAATGCAAGAGAAACAACATTATTTATCTGTAAAGCATAGATTTTGGTTTGTGTACCTTCTAGTAGAGGTATCAGTTATTCAAATGTTTAAAAGTTGCAAAGAATAACCTTAACCTTAAGGGTAAGAACCAGCAAGACTACCTCTTATGCCTGACTTACAATAACCTATAATATCTATTTTCAGTGCATGGTGTTAGAGAAGGGAGAGTAAAGCTTTATTGACTATGAATAGAACTAAACTGTGACTAAAGAGGTGAAACCAGAAAGTCTGTAAAATAACAGGAAGAAGGTTTAAAACCTGGATATCCTGTAATCTCTGAACGCAGATCTGGTTCCAAACAGAGGCACAGAGTGAGAACAAGAGTCTGTTGGCAATTACTCATGTATTAGACAGCATTACTGGTTTGGTTGTGTCTATTAGGTTGAGCAGAAATAGTAACCTTGTCTCCCAGTAACAGACAAATAAAAATGGTTTCATAGACACCAACAATAACCAGTGTAGCTGGAGGAGAGTTGAAAAGACACAACCATCAGTTACACAAATGACAGGTAACTGTCGTAGAGTGGCAGTAGTTGAACATAAAACGTGAAGTAGATTCTACCATAGTAACCACAGATAATAATGCTAATCACCCTCATCATGAATGTACTTTTTAGTTCATTCCACTCAGCTGTAAATGAATCTGTTTGTAACAGTGCTCTGTTCACACAATCTCTACAGACTCAACTTTCCTGGCCTTGAACACAGCAAATGGATTGTAAAGCAATGAGGCTAATGAAACACAGTCAACAAATGGTCTGTTTTCCATACGTAGCAAATTATGTGACATCTCCAATTTAATCTAACTTTTATAAAATTGAAAAAATGATCAAAGACAAAATGTATTAATTTTTTATATTAAAAAAAGACAATGAATGAACAAAGCTGTGTGCAGGCTGCTGCGCGTACACGTTACAAATGCGTACAACTAAATTGTGCATCGTGAAGACTGAACAATGCACAGGACTCCTGTGCAAAATAAATTATTTCATTTATGTTTATTTACAACGATCAGTTTGGTCAAGACAGTTTTGCTCACATTACCACAAATAAATTAAAAATAATTATTTAAAAATGCACATACACATCAAATCTTCATAAAACTTTACAAACACAAAAAGGCATCAAAGAATATTGCTTTGGAGTGTTCAAATATTTACCTGTGAAATATTTACAGAGCTATGTACATCAGGTGGGTTCACGATCACAATACAGTAGCTACAATCACATTTGATCACTTCAACTACCTTCATTTAAAGGTTCTTCATTTGAACGACTTCAGTTAACTTCATTCATCTTACAAACCACCGTGACCTGCAAACTTAAATATCTTCAAGGCACTGTTTTATGTGTGATTGTCATTAAAAAGAGAAGAGAATGGATGACTGTAGATAAACTGGTCTATCCAGAAGAATGGGAGAAAAATGCTGTCAAGCTTCAGGGTTAAAGCACTACCAAAGAAAATTGACTAAAAGTCAGAAAAGTCAAAAGGCATTTCCTGTGTGTAGTACATTCAACAGACTCCACCCAACAACTGAATGTGGTGAGTGTAAAGGTCAGGCTTTTCAAGTCAAAGTTATTTTGGAGTGTGATTCATTCACTCGCCGACAACATCATCAGGTACAGTCCAACCTGTTCTACAGCTGAAGCTGTTGACTGTGGATCTCACGTCTGACTATTGCCATCTGAATGTACAGCAAAACATAACATCACCAGTGTTTCTCATTTCAACACAAAACTCCAAAAAAAATCTTTCCCCCCTGTAAACATAGTTCCTGATTAGTTAAGTCTTACATGTTGTACCTTTGATGTTGAAGTCGAAACATTCAATCACGACCAGTTGAGCATCAGATTGTGACATCTCATTTAAATGTCTTTGAGCATGGTGTTGACACTGATAAAATGTCCTTTTTTGACCTGAGCCATATCCAAGGTTAAGACACATGGGTCTAACAGCACCCAGAAAGTTTTTTGGGAGGGGGGGGGGGGTAAAAACACTAAGCTGAATGCAGATGTCAGTGGCTAAAGGCTTTGCTAGTTTAAGATGAGAGGTAAGCAGTCACTCCAACACATCACAATATTCAGAACAGAAACATCTTTGAATGCACAGAACATCAATCTTTGATTAAAAACACAAGCGGTGCCAATCCTGTCAGCTCTTACCAGGAGGCTGAGGCTGAGGGGCTAAGGCTCGCTACAACTGAAAAATAAATAGATGGAACTTTACTACATTTAAATCTGACTAACAATGAACATCCACAACAGTTCTGTTACTTCCATGTTCAACCAGCTGTTCAGGTTTAAGGTAATTGTGCAATAGGTGTGAGTGATCAACCCAACAACCTACCTACCTACTTAACCATGGTCAGTTCTTCTTGACCAGAATGGCTTTTTCCAGCAGTATAAAACATCATGTCACAACGCAACAGTTCTCAAGAACTAGTTTCTTGAAAGCAGTGGATCAAAAGACAGAGGGTGACACTAGCATCTACGGACGGTTCAAGTGAGGAATGGGCTCAGGAAAAGTTTCCTGGGAAGCTAAGTCAGCTCAGCTTGGCCTCCTCACAAGCAACAGAGTGCAGTACCATGTTTTCAACACTCATTTACATTAACCATGTTACATTTAGAGAGGCGCTGTTTGCTCACCATAAAACGCTCTCTTAAAGAGAGAGAGAGGAGGAGGCAACAGTGGTTTCATTAAATCACGGTTATATTCTAGAAAAAAAATAAGTGAGGAAGCCTGACTTCACTTGGCCTCTGCTCGAAAACACCACTGAATCAGTACCATGAACATCACTCCCACTGAGCACTAAGACTGCTCTGAAGGTAGAGAGTCCAACAGAGTCCTAGCAGGACAAACAAAATGTAGTGGATGATAAAGTCTTGTCATAATCTGAGGTGATAATCTGGAGATTGTATAAACCTTTTCTTAGTGAACAGAATGCTACGGTAGAAAAGGTAACAGTAACTTTCATACAGCCTGTTATGAGGATCATAACCTTGCATTAACCCTTCATTTTAAATCCTTTTTCTAGTTGCACTATATTTTAACAGTCAAAAAGATATATATATATATATACACACACACACATATATATATATATATATATTTATATATATATATATATTTTACACCTTTTACACGTTCATCATCACAGTGCTAAGGTCAGAAACATACACCATAGAATGAGGTCAGTGAGGCAACAAGAAGCAGCGGCAGCAACAGCAGGATAAAGAAAAGTGAAAAGAATGCCCTTCATTAAAGCTATGGATCTGTTCTACATCCTGGGATCAAGGACTGTCCATGTCCTCCATGCTCAACATCTGCCTCTGAAAAACCCCAAACAGAATCAGCGGTAAATATATTTGTTATTATCGACATACAATAACTGACAAAGTTTGATTAGAGCAAGGCTACCTGAGGATAAAGATAGCCGTCGGAGCTGTTCCTGCCGATGTGCACCTCTTCCTCCGTGGTTTTCTGGTACACAGGATTGTCAAAGAAGATGGTGTTGGCGCTCTTCATACGCCATTGTCTCCACAGACACACCGATACGGAGCCCAGCAAGGCAATGACCACTGCAGAGAATGATAGGAGCCGTTAGCTCCACTGTCTGACTGAAACAACAGATTAGGATTTGCAGACATCTTGGAAATACAACTCACTGATTGGCAGCACAGCATAGAGAGCGACGGGGTGGGAGGGCGGGGCCTCTGTAGGCACTGCTGCCAGTCTGTCACCTGAAAAATGAAATGAATCGACGTACATATTGTAGATGAATTGTGGAAAACTGTCAAGTTAAATACATAAACTGGCCTTAAATTTATAAAATAATGATCACCAAGAAGAATTAGCAAAAACTGTTTTTTTTTTTTTTGAAGATCCATCTATAACACATGACCAGAACTAGAGAAATGTATTTATTATATTTCAGGTCATTTTGCTACCACTGATGTTTTCAGACTTACTCTAGATAAAGAAGAAACATTTAATAAATACATCTTTTGTTTACCTTGAGCAGAGGCAGCAGGCTGTTCTGGCTTCTCTGTGGCCACCACCTGTTTGGTAGATGCCAGTTTGTTGTCTGGTCTAACGGTGGTTGTAGTTGTGGTGGCAGGAACGAGCCGTGGAGGTGTAGTCGGCTTTGGTTTGTCTGTAGATGGGAGCGAAGCATCACCATCGTCTTTCTCAGGAGGGACAGCTGTATGTGTTGGGAAAAAAACGTTCAGGTTCCTGTACTTGTACTCCTGTATTTAATTTAATGTTACCTAGTTAAAGTCAAACATTCACCTGTCACACATGTCCTCATGTCCAGGCCCATGCTCATGTGGTCTGGACAGGCACAGGTGTACTTTGGAGAATGCTCATTGATCTGAGGGGCCGGGAGGCACAGGAACTCACAGCCTCCATTCACTGTGCTGCCTTCACTGCACCAGTTTGGATCTTTGTAGCAGAAAAGCACAATGAACATCAAAATGTACACAATGGCCTATATACATATATATACATATATATATATATTATAGTAATGTGCTTGTAATTCAGAGAAGAAGAAATGTGTCAGTACTGTTGGGCTGCTTGAGGTCGTGGTACAGGATAATGTCCTCTGGATGGTCCAGATCCACAGCCAGCTCAGTGATCTGGTTTCCTGTCAAACGGTTGGCACTGTAAACAGCACCTTTGGCTGCGTCTATCCAGAAAACTCTCTCCTGTGAAATAGAAAAAATACCCATCACTTACTAATTATGTCAACGACTGCCCAAATCACAGAGAAAGTATTGACAACTGCAAATTCAGACAAGTCCATGTTTAATACAGCAGTTGATCTACTCTTGTAATTTTACTGTAGGACTCTTTAGGTTTTAGTTTGGATCATTTAAAAACCAGGAGTGTTAAAAATAGCCCAGTGCAGGAGGTCCTCGGTTTACAACGTCCTCGACCTACAGCGGTTTGTGGTTACGTCATTATCTCCCATACATTTATGAAGAAAGTCTTGTTCCATAGTTTCAAGTGTACAGTTGTACTGCCATACAGTACATTGGATTGTGCTACATCCGCTTTCTTTCATTTGAGTTGTTTTTTTGAGGAACTTTTTGCCCTTCATTATGGCTCCCAGGTGTAAGTCAGACTCTTCTGATGTCCTAGATTATGATGTCACCACTGTGTTAGCGTAGGTGACTGACATTAGTACTGATGTACAGTATGTGAGTTCAGACTTGAGTCGAGGACCCTGTATATTTGATCTACATTTGCAATTTTGCACATGGGCCACTTCAGGCTTTCACTGATTTTGTTTGGGTAAAGGTAGTTACTGGGCCACGTCTGCATCCTGCCTAGATACTAATGTAAACCTGAAGCACCTCCAGCACCCCCTATGTTCACAGGGAGTGAAGTGAGATTTAAACTCACCTCAAAGACAGTCAGGGAGAGTGGGTGGGAAAGTTTGTCACTGTTTAAAATGATAGTGTGTCGTGTCCCTCCGTTAACATCGATGCTGGACAGTGTGTGCAACTTGGAGTCCACCCAGTACAGACGCTGGTTGACAATGTCTGTGGATGGAAGCAGGTTATTGATTAGTTAACATAGCTGTATGTTTACAAGACTGTGAGTGGTACCCAGTGATGCTTACCCAGGGTTATGCCACTGGGCCACACAATGTTATCTTCAACCAGAATCACACGATCTGCTCCATTCAAGCCACTCTTCTCTATCTTAGCCTGCTGCCCCCAGTCTGTCCAGTACATGAAGCTGAAGGACACAGGACAACACAAACCATCAGGATAATAACGATCTGTAGATAATCATCAACCTCAGCTGAGACTACAGGATGTTAGTCACCCGCACACAGAAGTCACTTACTTATTGACTGGGTCCACGGTGATCGCTCTTGGCTTTTCGAGGTTTTCGGAGATGAGGGTTTTCCTCTTGCTGCCATCGGTGGTGGCCACAGAGATGGTTTTCAAAACGTTATCTGTCCAGTAGATGTTTTTTTGGATCCAGTCGACTGCAATGCCTTCGGGGGCTTCAATTCCACTTCCAATAACCACGGAGTGCTGAGAGGAGTTACTGGCCACATCAATGTTGGACCTGGATGAGCAGAGAAACACAGGATTTTCATCATCTTTTACATTTTTCAAAACCAAAATATTTAAAACTTAAAACATAAAAAATGCCTTTCTCACCTGTAGATTGTTTTCAGGGACAGATCAGACCAGAAGATTGTCCTTTCCAGCATGTCCATGTCCAACGCCACTGCATTTTTCAGCAGTGAGATCACCTGAGCGTACTCACTGCGGTCTATTGTCAGTTTCCTCACCTCGTGTCTGTTGGTAAAGTACAACGTAGGCACGGCGCCTGGGAGACAGAGAGGTGATTACAATATTTGATTTGCATAAATACAAATACGGCGCCTGGGAGACAGAGAGGTGATTTGATTTGCATAAATACAAAATGTTAAGTAATGCGTGGAGGACTGAGTGAGTGGAGAGAGGAGACTCATGTCAAGAGCAAAGAGATAAAGACAAAGACAATTGGCTGCGGTGTGTTTACTGGTGTGACGAGAAAAAAGAAAGACGGCGCTACATTTTATGATTTTTTTAAGACATGATACACTTGTCCAACACATGGCCTGGTGCTGAGAGAATATAAAAAAAACTTTTTTTTACCTAATTCAGCCTTGCAGGTTTTGGTCGCAGGGTCGATTTGGTAGCCATTTTTGCAGTCACACTTGTAGCTTCCTGGTAGGTTTATGCAGATTTGACTGCAAGTGTCTGGTTGAGAACATTCATCGATGTCTGCAGTGAACAAACACCAGTTCAGGTACGCAGCATTTAACAAACTGTGAACATCAAGTACTTTAAGTCTTCTCTTCATGTACATACTGTAGTACAGACACTAAACCTTCCTCTCACCTTCACACGTTTTCATATCTGAGTTCAGGCTGAGCCCAGAAGGACAGGAACAGTTGTAGCCAACCTTCAGATCGGTGCAGATATGGGAGCAGCCGCCGTTTCCTGTCAGACACTCGTTGTTTCCTGTGCACACATTGACACACATTGATTTCACATGATGATCAAAAACCACGAACAGCGAAAACAATGCCTGATGTTTTTCTCTTACCACACTTTTCCACAGGCTCGTCAGAGGAGTCCACGCAGTCTCTCTTTGTGTCACACACCTTGTCCATGCTGACACACTCTCCGCTGCTACATTTAAACATGGTCGGACCTTCACATACGATGTCTGAGAAGATAGAACTGACGTCAAACTCAAATCTCCAGTTGGGATTTCGTTAACTGTGGGCTGCAGCGTCTGTGGTTATAAAAGTCACCTGTGTCGCAGCCAATCTCATCACTAAGATCCTTGCAGTCAGACTTTTTGTCACATTGTCGGCTGCCATGGATACACGTGCCATCATTACACTGAAACTCATCTAGACGGCATGCAGTGAAATCTGGACAAAGGAGACAGATCTGCGTCATTGTGGGACAGTGATTGGGTGTCAGTACTTGGTCACCAACAAAAAAAACAACAACTTACTGCAGTTGACCTCGTCTGATCCATCCAGACAGTCCACACCTCTGTCACACCTCCAGCTGCTGTGGATGCATTCTCCGTTAGCACACTGAAACTCGTGATCTCTACAGCTGGCTGTCGTGTTTTTAGGCCGCTTGCCCTCGCAATTCTGCGACCACTCGTCAGATCCATCTGCACAGTCCTCGTCTCCGTCGCAGCGCCACAGAGCCGGGACACATACGGAGTTGTTGCACTGGAATGATTGTGGGTTGCAGGTGGGCTTAGGGCAGGAGGCCTCGTCTGAACCGTCGGAGCAGTCGTTGTCACGGTCACAGAGGTAGGTTCTGGATACACATTGTCCATTGGCGCACTGAAACTCATCAGAGCTGCACTGTTTGGCTTCTGTGGTGAGACAGGATAAATGACAGGAGTTCATGTGAGTGTTAGTGCAATCTGACCTCATCTATTCATATGACACATATCATTAAAAGCACTGTTTGACAGCACAAGCTGATGAGGAGCTACAGTTCAACCTTAAGGTTGAGGTTCCATTATTAGCCTAGAGACACATTTTTCCTGGTTTGCACAGACATACTGCGTAAAAAGAATGTGAATACAAGAAGTAAATGAAATTGCGATTGTGCTGCAAATTAGAAACTATTAATTGGTGTTTGTGTGAATTCCAAACTTATATATATATATATATATTTATATATGAACTGGGTGAACTCGTATCTATGCAGATTTCTGAGTGCGTCTTTCTTTACCACAGTTTGTCTCATCAGCTCCGTTGTCACAATCAGCTTTCCCGTCACAATGCCAGCCTCCTGGGATGCACTGGTTCCGAGGGAGGCCACAGTTGAACTCTGACTCCCTACAAGTTTTGGATTCTGTGAACAGAGAGATTTTGTATATATTAAGGACATAAAATTCACCATCCTTACTAATGTAATGTCTTATTGACGTACTGTTGAAAAGCTGCTAATTTCTGTCCCAAACATTAGAAACAACCAGTCAAAGAAATAGCAAATTATTTGATTCAATATTTTTTCTAGTTCAGTCCTAAATAAAACAGCTCATTATTCAAGAAAACAACTCTGTTTCCTCCTAATGTTGTACAATGATTAAAGAGAAAACAACCTACCACAGGCTGCAGGCAGCTCGTCAGTTCCATCACCACAATCGTCTGTTCCGTCACAGATCCACCTCTGGGTAATGCACCTCTTATTTCCACATGTAAACTGAGACGAGCTGCATGTGAACGCTGCACCTGTCAGCCAATAAAAACAGTGAATGAGTTCCTCCACAGCAGCAGGCTCACTTCCAGATAGCATCACATCCTTTAAATTTATCAGCGAGGGCAATAAACATTTTGCCGCCTGTGTCATATTAACGTGAATTATCGACATCCTTTGGAGTTAATGTTCAACTGAGCAGCAGGACAACGGATCGTGGCCAGATAAATGACACACCTTGTACAAACCTGGTTTGCTTCACTAAACTGACTAAATTCCGCAACCAACAATGTGTGTCGTTAGAAGCTTGGAAGAACTGAGTGTTAATGAGAAGTGAAACCCTGTGAAACAGTGTGAAATTTGTGATGATAAAATGTAAAAAAAAGTTTGTGAACCTCTGGAACCAATCAGCTCTTTACTACAGAACGGAAACATAGCTACGATATTTTTCATGCGAGTGAAAATGGCATCAGAACTCTGTTCTAGGTTGTACAGCCTCACCACAACTCAGGGCAAAGATGGAATCGACATCAAACGTAGAGTGTAAGCACTACGGACCAACCAAGGTCTATCTACCCACATCTCTTCTGCCTCCTGTCTCTCTTGTGTACTCCTACTCCTAGAGTACTTCCTTAAATTACAATGACATGGGAGGAGTTGCAGTCACACTGCTAGTTGCTGATTGGTCCCAGAGAGACTAACCGAAGAACCTCACCAGCCTCACCACTACCACAGTAAACCAAGGAAGTTAGTCAGCCTTTCCGCTAAATGTAAAAAAAGACACATTTTTACAGGATTACGTGTCTATTTATGGGGGACGGGAGGTGGGGGAGAAACCAAAGGCTATGTAAAACAGTGCTTTTACTATTCATTCATCTCCACCTTCATTCATGGAGAGTTTGTACAGTTCAGTGACTTAAAGCCACTTCTAGAGAACTATATGACATGTGTGTATTTGACAATTAAAAGTGCATTTTCAAAGACCTATTTAAAGACTATTTTCAACAGTGTTCCTACAGACAGAAACTAAATCCCCAGGAAGCTGTTAGTCCTCACAGCTGAACCTGACAACCCGTGGCAGCGAGTACTACTGTACCTCAAACACACAACATACGGCAGTCCCTCATTAAAACACTTCATGTCAACAGACCATAAATGTGGTCACATGGGACAATGATCTCCAGCAATGCTTCTCTGTCCTGTTTTATGGCACATGCATGTGATACGCCCCCCCCCCCATCTCCCCCCACCCACAAGGCTTGACAGAATGATGTGTTTATTGACTCAAACATGTGACATGCAGTTAATAACACAACCCTGATGTTTGACCACCTGGCACTAANCACGGGGGGCGGGGGGCGGGGGGGTGGGAGTGGACTTGGCATGGGAGAATCACCTGTCACCACAGAAGCACACAACTCCTGGCATTGTCTTCCAAAACGCCTTTTAAATTTAAATTTGGGAGTCATCGACTCCTCGTCCTCTGTCAGTTGACAGAATTTCATTTAACTATTTTCAGTAAATTGGGCTTTACTTTAGGGTTAAGTATCACCGGTCCAAGACAAGCGTGTGGTAGTATATCAATGGAAACAGATGGATCCACCACAGAGAAACCTGAAACTTCTTCCCACTGATTTACAATTAAAGGGAAAAAAATGTTGCTACACAAAAATGCAGATTTTCCTGTATCCCAGGGAATCCAGGGAGGATTCCTCGGGGTTTGCCCCACCCACTGTTTGACATCTGTTTGACAACCACTTCCTTCTGCCTCTATCCTCTGATTTCCCCACCCGATAAACAAGCATGGGTGTAAAATCCCATTATGGCCTAATACTGTGAACAAGTCCGTGATATTGTCATCACTGTTACCTGTGACTGGAGCATTATACAGTATATTTCAAGACATATCATATCATAGATCATATATCAAGTCATATATTTTAATGTTATCAATGGTTTTTATTATATGATTCACAATATTTAATGCTTTTTTTCATTAAAAAACAAAATTCACCCATTAAAACATTATTTTAAATACAGTGTATGAATAATAAAAACTTGATCTGTAGTACAGTTTGAATGAAACTGTAGTAGCATGTCAGAGTCTTACCGGCTGGAGAACCATGAATCAGCATCAGCAGGCAGCACAACGTGGACAGTGTTGTTAGTGTCGTCCGCATCCCAAACATCCTCCGTCCCTCTTTACTGGATCTGGATGTATTCTCTGTTTCCTTCATAAACCGCCGGTTGTAGACGGCAGCGGAGTCTTGGCTTCAGCCTACGGAGTCAAGCAGAGGATGTCAGCCACGAAATTAAAGTGGCCGAGTCATTTTCTACTTGCCCGGCGGGGGGCGGGGCTAGAGCAGTGGTGTGATGTTCAAAAATGGAATGGGCATCACAGGGGGAGGAGTCAATAATGCTGCCGTTAGTGCGCGGGTAGTTTCTTGAGAAATAAAACTAAATAAATATCTGAAGAAACTGCACTATCGTTTTGAGGATGTTTGTACGCGTGACGAACACTTCTGCAGAGCAACAGAAAGTGAAAGGGAAAAGTTAACTGTCCAACAGTTATAGTTTAGGATGAGAGTTGGAGTTAGGGTTCGATTTGGCTCCTAGTCAGATCAGGTAATGAGCTCAGGCAGGTATTTCAGGAATGTTGAAAAAGCTGTTGGATTACATCTACTACGTCACACACACACACACAAAAAAAACGTTTGTGTGTGTGTGTGTGACGTGTATATATATATATATATATATAATTTAACTTCTTTAAATTAATGTAAAACAAATTATACAACACATCACATTGGTCTGTGTTGGTACACAGATGATAGAGTGAATACTACTATACACATACAGTATACTGAATATCTAATACCTGTGAATGAAACAGTAAATCAGGTTGTTTCATACCACTGATTTACTGCAGTAAAACTGTGATCGCAGGCTCATTCCTTGGGTTCTAAATGGAAACATTGAAGACAGATCTGGGCTGTGATGACGTGAAATCACATCATTTGTGATACAGTATAAACATAAACACACACAACAGATGAGTACAGTGTGATATTGTTGGACAAACAACAAGTTCCTGTTTAATCTTGTAACTGATGATCTTTATCTAACATCAACAACTAGCTGTGTGACCTCGAGATGACGGAGAAGTTTGATGTTAAGACAACAGCTCAGAATATCTCGAGGTTTTAAAGTCACTTCGTTCTCAACAGAAAAGTACACAGTGGTACACATTAGATGCCACCGCTCAATGAATGTAATCAATGTCAGATTTCAAAGGGGTTTGGAATGACACATTAAAAGGTAGAAATAATTAGCTAATATATATATATAAAGCCGAAAGGAAAAAAAGAGGAAGAAGAAGAATATATACGTATATATACATAAAAGTCACCAAAAGACAATTAAGGGTAGCTGAGAAATAACAAACAGCTTAAAGCCTGAGGGCCAAAGGCCATGTGTCATTTTTATACGTATGAGCATATGAAAGTAACTACTGTAGTCCAACGACTGACTGACTGACTGACTGGATCATGGACATGCCCACCACTGACCACTGAGTGACAGAAACAGCTTGTTATCTTAGAACAGCACATTGGTGTTTCAACTGTACACTGTGTGGTGTATACTTTTGAAAAGAAGAGAGGAGAATGTCAACTGCTACGTTTTTAGGCTAAAGCAGTTTTGTGGGGTTCTCAGTTCTTATGTTTACCTTTTTAACCAGGATTTTAGTTCAAACTCACAATAAGTTTAATATTACCACAGTTTACATAAGGATTTAACAGGAAACAGTAGTTTTTTTTAGATGCTCAAGATGCTCCCTCTCAGTGGTTAGAATGAGGTATTACATTGTCCTACAAAATAAGAGTCCCATTTTTGATTCCTTGTTCCATCACATATTGAAAGACTAAGTTTAACAAGCCAAAATTATATACAGTGTATATATGTGCATATATAGTGTTATATATTATATAGATATATATATCTATATCTATATATATCTATATATACATATAGACATAGATATACTGTAAATATAGTATTAGTCCCTTTGACCCACAATGGCAAAATTCACATCAACTTTCACTTTTACAGTGTTTTTTTTAATTACATCTCAAATTCTGGCAATTTTGACACAATACAACAGAGAGTTCTTCGTAGGTTAGTGGCAAAAACATTGATGCTTTGGTTCTATGCTCGTTTTAGTAACCTTACACAGGAGAAAAGAGTTCAGTGTTGAACTTACAAGAGTTGTACACACATGCATGGACATAATTAAAAAAAAAAAAACAATAACAGAAAAACCCTGTGCAAAATATCCAACCACATTCAGCCATCAGACATTGGTAAGCAGAGAGGAGTCATGGTCCTTCTGGTTCTCTGACTCGAAATCACAAACAGAACCCATGGTGGCTATAAACATCAAATCCTAAAATCTCTACGGTTTAAATCAGAAGCAAATAAAGGTACAGTACTGATTGATATACAAAACCTCACGATTCCGATGTCGACAACAACAGTTATGTACTGCTAATACTGGAGGTTTAACAGGTAGGTAGCAGCAATGAGCAAAGAGTTTGTATTTACACACTGGACCGCACTGGACAGTGAGCCAGAAGATTCTACTTACCCTCAGTCAAATACCTGCAGTGGGAGGTCACACCCTGCACCTATTTCGAACATTCAGTCTTATCACACATATGTGACGTATGCACACAAGGTGACCTCCCAGTGGCTCAAAGTCGTTACAACACAGCCACAAAGTTAAAATTTTCATTCTCACATCATCTCTGGGTTCATTAGAGGACAAATACACACGTCAGAAATGCTGTTTTTCACCAAGGACATTTTGGTCCAATAAAGACTTAGCTCTTCTACGATCTTATTATATTGAAGTCAGAACGTTCAAATAAAAACAAGATGAAAAAAAATCTCCACCAGTAAAAACCTACAATATATATATATATATATAATTTAACTTCTTTAAATTAATGTAAAACAAATTATACAACACATCACATTGGTCTGTGTTGGTACACAGATGATAGAGTGAATACTACTATACACATACAGTATACTGAATATCTAATACCTGTGAATGAAACAGTAAATCAGGTTGTTTCATACCACTGATTTACTGCAGTAAAACTGTGATCGCAGGCTCATTCCTTGGGTTCTAAATGGAAACATTGAAGACAGATCTGGGCTGTGATGACGTGAAATCACATCATTTGTGATACAGTATAAACATAAACACACACAACAGATGAGTACAGTGTGATATTGTTGGACAAACAACAAGTTCCTGTTTAATCTTGTAACTGATGATCTTTATCTAACATCAACAACTAGCTGTGTGACCTCGAGATGACGGAGAAGTTTGATGTTAAGACAACAGCTCAGAATATCTCGAGGTTTTAAAGTCACTTCGTTCTCAACAGAAAAGTACACAGTGGTACACATTAGATGCCACCGCTCAATGAATGTAATCAATGTCAGATTTCAAAGGGGTTTGGAATGACACATTAAAAGGTAGAAATAATTAGCTAATATATATATATAAAGCCGAAAGGAAAAAAAGAGGAAGAAGAAGAATATATACGTATATATACATAAAAGTCACCAAAAGACAATTTAGGGTAGCTGAGAAATAACAAACAGCTTAAAGCCTGAGGGCCAAATGCCATGTGTCATTTTTATACGTATGAGCATATGAAAGTAACTACTGTAGTCCAACGACTGACTGACTGACTGGATCATGGACATGCCCACCACTGACCACTGAGTGACAGAAACAGCTTGTTATCTTAGAACAGCACATTGGTGTTTCAACTGTACACTGTGTGGTGTATACTTTTGAAAAGAAGAGAGGAGAATGTCAACTGCTACGTTTTTAGGCTAAAGCAGTTTTGTGGGGTTCTCAGTTCTTATGTTTACCTTTTTAACCAGGATTTTAGTTCAAACTCACAATAAGTTTAATATTACCACAGTTTACATAAGGATTTAACAGGAAACAGTAGTTTTTTTTAGATGCTCAAGATGCTCCCTCTCAGTGGTTAGAATGAGGTATTACATTGTCCTACAAAATAAGAGTCCCATTTTTGATTCCTTGTTCCATCACATATTGAAAGACTAAGTTTAACAAGCCAAAATTATATACAGTGTATATATGTGCATATATAGTGTTATATATTATATAGATATATATATCTATATCTATATATATCTATATATACATATAGACATAGATATACTGTAAATATAGTATTAGTCCCTTTGACCCACAATGGCAAAATTCACATCAACTTTCACTTTTACAGTGTTTTTTTTAATTACATCTCAAATTCTGGCAATTTTGACACAATACAACAGAGAGTTCTTCGTAGGTTAGTGGCAAAAACATTGATGCTTTGGTTCTATGCTCGTTTTAGTAACCTTACACAGGAGAAAAGAGTTCAGTGTTGAACTTACAAGAGTTGTACACACATGCATGGACATAATTAAAAAAAAAAAAACAATAACAGAAAAACCCTGTGCAAAATATCCAACCACATTCAGCCATCAGACATTGGTAAGCAGAGAGGAGTCATGGTCCTTCTGGTTCTCTGACTCGAAATCACAAACAGAACCCATGGTGGCTATAAACATCAAATCCTAAAATCTCTACGGTTTAAATCAGAAGCAAATAAAGGTACAGTACTGATTGATATACAAAACCTCACGATTCCGATGTCGACAACAACAGTTATGTACTGCTAATACTGGAGGTTTAACAGGTAGGTAGCAGCAATGAGCAAAGAGTTTGTATTTACACACTGGACCGCACTGGACAGTGAGCCAGAAGATTCTACTTACCCTCAGTCAAATACCTGCAGTGGGAGGTCACACCCTGCACCTATTTCGAACATTCAGTCTTATCACACATATGTGACGTATGCACACAAGGTGACCTCCCAGTGGCTCAAAGTCGTTACAACACAGCCACAAAGTTAAAATTTTCATTCTCACATCATCTCTGGGTTCATTAGAGGACAAATACACACGTCAGAAATGCTGTTTTTCACCAAGGACATTTTGGTCCAATAAAGACTTAGCTCTTCTACGATTTACAAACAGAGACCGACTGCTTCCCTACAGCTACCCTGTCACTGTATAACATGTCAGATATCTCCTCGTGTCCTTAGTTAACTAAAGTAAAGTCTGTTCAGGGTGGACTGACTGCACCTGCACAGCCCTGGTTAGTGTCTAGAGCTGCAGCTGCCCCTGAAAATGTAAGACTTCACTCAGTCTGAACAGTTAAGCCACAGGGTTCCCCACAGAGAGAGCTGGTCAGCGGTACTGCCTGGTAGTGGGCGACCGGTCTTTGATACAAAAAAGGGTGGGGACCACTAAAGAGCCAGGACTTTTGAGGCGTGTTGTCTAGAGTCGTCTTGAAGACTGGGTGTGGCTGCTGTGTTATCTGGTTTCACACTCTCTACACTCATTCATCTTCCTGGAGGCTTGTTTCACCTGACGTTTTTACTGCCAGACCATAACCAGATCATTCAACCTCTGATGGACCTTTAACTGTATCCCAGATCATTCAACCTCTGATGGACCTTACTGTAACCTTACTGGACCTTACTTAACTGTATTTTCTAGTGTTTTTTCAGTCACTGTTTTCGCAGCTCCAGTTCATTTGCCCACCTTGTGCTCTAATTGACTGTAACTATCAATTAATGTAATTAACTATTAACTAAAAGAAGGACAATTTTATCTTTGTTGGACCAAATGTTCCCTTGTTTCTTCTACTAGTGCTGGAATTACTAGAGATTTGTGTTTTAAACAGATCGATTTTTTTCTCTGATAACTTTAATATTTAATTAAACAAAACCATTAATTACCTTAGATTAAAGGTTAATAAGTTAATACTAACATTCGGTTTTCAAGTTTTCTTGAAGGTAAATAAACAGAATAAATAAATAATTACAAATAAATAGTCAGTCAATAAATAGACAGTAATTACAAAAATAAAAACAAATAAAAGAAGGAATAAAACAGGTAAATAATAATATTATACAAATTCCTGGGTTGTTGTTTTAATGTTAGGGGTTAAAAGCTTCTGTCATGACTGTCTCTGATATAATAGAGAAGCTTAATGGTTCAAAGCGGTCAAAAAGTATTAAATAAAGACAATAAACCTGCGACCTACAGGTGAAGAAGACGTAAACCAGGATAAAATAAAAAAGTCACACCCTGGAAACCCTGTCGTTGTACTGTACATGGGCCTTGTAGTAGTCGTTTGGTTGGAGAGTATCTGAAAAATCACCCTCAGGTTTGTCGTTACAACTGTGGACTAACCGACCAATGGCATTACCATGGACAACCAAAGGAGGATTATTTGTTGAAGCATAACCTATTTTTTTTCCGTATCTGATCTAGAGTCTTTGAAAGAAGCCCTTAAATGATGTACGTGGTTGGTAAAACTGTCCTATAATTATTTATAAAAACAGTTTGGACTGTACAACAGAGGGGTGGGCTGCAACTGGCAAAACATTTAGTTTGAAACAATTCTTTTATTTATTTTAATAACTAATGCCTTTGTTTTAGTACTAACTAATGGGACTGGTCAATTTATTGGTCTGTACATTTGTAGTCAGTGTTTTTAAAACAGATGTTCTGTCTTTAAGAGTGGCTCAGTTTTATTATCTTTTATTACCTCGTTCACATTTGTTTTTCTTTTTTTTTTTTACTGACGAGAGAACACTATAATCATGTTTTTTTTTGTCCTTGTAAAATTTAATTTTAGTGCTCTTCAATTTGGAATGGAGTTGTGAAAAGGTGTATCTGTATTTACTGTGTATGTGATGCTGAGTTAGAGGAATATCTCTTCATCTTCCTCTCTTCCTGTCTCCGTTTAAGACTCTTCATCAGTTGCACTCGGAGAACGTTCCTGAGAACAGAAACGAGACAAATGTTGTTCAACATAAAAGGTTTGTTGCTTGTCAGTCGTGATGTAACAAATGTACAAAATGTACATGACACACAAAACAACAGTGAGACCTTCTGGTTGACTATTACACACAACATCTCTGTGAGGCTGCAAAATACCTCCACACACTACTTACATAGGACTAAAAAGGACCAGAAAGTAAGATCTGAATCATGGATTATAATCTCTAGCTCTATAATCCAAGACTCAACATCATCTACCTCTTCCTGTTCATCCTCAGAGTCGTCATCGCTGACCACAGGTTTGGCTCTGGTGCGTCCTGTTCTCCTGTTGCGACCCTTTCCTCGATCTCCACCTTTATCCTTTTTACCCAATCGGATCTTCACCCTTACTGAGCGTGCTGTAAATGATTGAAAATGTAAATGGAATTACGTCTAAGATCCAAAAAATGGTCCTAAAAAGGTACTATTTTAAAATTGAAGAGAAAAATGTATGGTTGTTTTGTCTTGCTTGAACAGACACAGTGGCAGCAGCGAGTGTGAAATGACAACATGTAGATATCACAGTATGAAGGTCAGTCATTTTTTACATTCAGACTCTGATCCTTCGTCATGCTCCTCCTCTTCTTCTTCACTTTCCTCTCCCTCACTCTCCTCTTCCTTCTCGATCTTTTGCCTCAAACTTGAGAAGACGGACTGCAGAACAATAGAGTCTTCATATATCTATTCACAGGAGGGAAGTGGGTCAAAAAAGGTTTGGTTTTTTCAAACAAGTTTTGAGATTCTGGAGGAAACCAGATGTTTGATCTCACCAGTGATCCTTCCAGGTTGAAGGTCTGGGCATTCTGGAACAGCAGCATCACATCTCTCTCCAGGTCACCCAGGCTGCGGTAGCGATGATTCCTGATCCTTTCCTAGTGGTTCACAGTAGCAGTTCACAGTACGTTAGAACGACACTTCTATATCTGAACTAGAGAAATACTCTACTAGAGAAAATGCTAAATTTGATCCACTGATACTGATTTTTGTTGATTTTTATTTCCTTCAACTGATAGCTTATACAAAAATGTAAGTGTTTTCTATATTTCCTTTTCCAGATTAGGCTGGTGTTACATACTATAATTAATTTTGATACAACATCTACAAAGATCTTTTTCTGTATTCTATGGCTCAGACAAGTGGCTGTTTGGAGCAATGTCTATAAAAAGCTGCCTGAAGTACCACAGGAGATAATCGGATTGTTAAACACTGATTTAAAACAACCATCTCCTTATTTTTACCTTGATTTTTCTGAAGTCCACGGGTTTGCGGATTAGCTCGTAGTACTCGGGAAGTTCTTTTCGGGAAGGCAGTTGAATGAATACCTCACTCAAGAGACGCCCGCTGGCACTGCAAGAGAACAGATGAGAAGGAACAGGTCGTTGTCAGTTATTCCACATGCACTGTTTTATTAAAGGCTTCAGGCTCAGATTCAGTCTGTGGCTGTTTCTGTTTCAACAAGATTTCTATTTCTGTCAATCTGCCTAACACTGATCAACACTTAAAAGGATAAAACACAATGTATTATTATAGTTTATGGTGTCACACAGAAAGTTAAGCATCAACCTGTTAAAGCTGTTTAGCAAAGCAAGCACATTCTTAACTGTCAATACAGTAAAAATCTGTTTCAGAAAGTTATTCATCCAACAATGGGGAAATTAACAAAGTCTAAACATGACGGACATTTGATAATAGTATTAAAAAGTAAATTGAGGCAAAACACGGACTTCAGAAGTCAAATTGATATAGTCTGACTGCAAAACACATAATTTCAAAACTTATGTTTTGACTTAATAATAAGTGATTAACTGTTAACAGAGATCATTATGAGGTTAATATTTTTCTACCTGTCTTTATATTTAATGACAGCATCCACGATCTTCCTCATCTTCTTTGTGAGGGACGGTGGATTTGGGGAGAGTTTCTCAGCAGGGGGTCGCCCCCTCTTCCTCTGCCTCTTTATATCATCATCTTTGTCCCCTCGTCCTCGTCCCCCGGAGGAAGACGAAGGACCAGGAAGATCCAAGTCACGGTCTCTTTTCCTCTTGCGGGTTGTCTTTTTGTGCCGTACCTCTTCCTCCATCTCCTCCAGGGTGCCTTCCTCTATGGCCTGCTCAAGATGAATACAAATAAATAGAGTGTAAGAGCGTGACATTCAAAGTGAAATTTCATTTCCCTGGATTTGAGTTTGGATTCTTCCTCTGCTTTGCTGAAAACCTTGAGCCACTGCTTCTCCGTCAGTGAGTCACTGTAGTCCACCTCCTTTCGCTGTCGTGAGCCTCTTCCAAACATCTTCTCTTCCTCCTCCTCACAGGTAAGACGCTCCACCTCCGCATCATCTTTCATGATCCAGGTGGGGAGCTCATCCTCCTCCATCAGACGAGGTTTCCGCCGGGGGTTTCGAGCGTCCTCCCGCCTCCGGTCAAGGTCCATGCGCTCAATGATAAACCAGGGAATTCAATTAGAAATAAAGGCTGAAGGCTGAAGGCTGTAGGCCAAGACTGAGCTGAATGTGTATTTACCATAAACTGGTCAAACTCCTCCTCGCTCCTGGCGATCATCTGGTTAACTGTCTCATCATCTGGCACCTCATCTTCTTCCTGCATATAAAAGAAATACATTGGTGGAAAGAGCATAGGAAGAACAATCCTCTGAAATTGTGTGTATCTGGTACAAGCACACACATTCATGCGAACAGACACTTCTGGACCCCAGACCTCATCTTGTTCCTCATGTTCCAGGATGGCCTGCAGAAAAGCTCTGCGCTCATGGCTGGAAGACTTTTGATCAAACATTCCTGCCTGAATGACTTTTTGGTCCACATTTAGCTTGTACTTAGCAGCAGCCAGGATTTTTTCCTCCACGCTGTTCACAGTGCAAAGGCGCAGAACACGCACCTCATTCTGTTGACCGATACGGTGAGCTCTGTCCTGAGCCTGCAGGTCCTGGAGAAACATTTACATGAACAAATAAAAACAGCTTGTGCCTGTATGGTCACCTTAACCATAAATAAGTAAGCAACTCAATTCCAATTCTAAAGTTGCATTCTACATGTTCATTTTAAGGATGTTTTTTTTACCATGTGTTTAGACTCTGATCCAACATCTTTGGTTTGGTGGTTATTGTTTTCAAAGATTTTTTTCACCTCTCTCTTTACCATATAAATGCTCTTTCAATAATGCAATAAATTAAATGCAATGACCACTGTGGCTCTCTCCTCGAAAGGTTCCCATGATGCCTTTGCCTCTGCTAATTCGTCATAGAGTTGAGCAGCTGCGGTCAGCTGTTACAGCATCAGTAGACATGAGGTGGTCCAGTATCAGTCAATCCACTGTGTCTCAGACATGAACTAAAGATCACATCACCAGAACTTTTATGTCTCTCCACAGATTAATTGCTCTGTGTCCATTTTTAACCGGTCTGTTTTGCCGTACCTACCTACCGTCAGTGAAAAACACACTGCAGAAGCCTTCCGAATGAAAACACTGAAAGACTAAGAATCAATGAAAAACAGTGAATAACAATGACAGTGTTTTGAGCCAAACAGCACCAAGTGTTGAAAAGCAGTGTGTCAGTACATTGAACAATCAAACCTCATAAGAAACCCCATTCTATACAAATCACATAGAAAAAATATAGATTAAAATTCACTTTACACATACATGTGTATTATCCCAAGTTGCTGGATAAAGACCAGTTACCAAGGTGCTACTGAAGCAGCTCCACTATCAGACACACTGTTGAATCCCATTCTTATTTTTTTTTCTTATATTATAATTATAATGAATGTGTTAGTGTGTTTTTCCTTAGGAAAACCAAAGCACCGGAGCATCAGACCTGATGTGGGTTCCAGTCCGAGTCAAAGATGACCACAGTGTCAGCAGACTGCAGGTTGAGCCCCAGGCCGCCAGCTCTTGTACTGAGGAGAAAAATGAAGTACTCTGACTCAGGATCGTTGAACGTCTTCAGTAACATTCCTCTGTCCTCGGCCTTCGTCGTACCTGTCGGACAGAGACGGTGGCAGAGAGAGTAAAACAAACAACGTCACGGTAGTCAAAAACTCTGGGCAGTGATGGAATGGACACAAACAAAACGAACACGTTCACACCGTCCAACCGCAGGTACTTGAAGCTGCGGTAGGCGAAGTAGTCCTCCATAATGGTCATGAGGGAGGTCATCTGACAGAAGAGCAGGACTTTGTGGTTTGTAGCTCTCAGTTTGGGTAGGATGCGATCCAACACCTCAAACTTTCCTGATGCTCTGTACAGGTCAGGACTGAGAAATGACATGAAAAGCTTTGTGTAAGTGACTGTGCGTGCTTGTCTTGGTCTGTGTGTAAATGTGGAAACAGGAGAGGAGGTAGGAAACAGGGGGCTTAGACTCACCCCTGAACAATCCCACCAGAGAATCCTAAATGTTCAGAGAAAGACTCCTGGAAAAACAGATGTGTGTTTATTCTGTACGTACTAAGGTGAACATTTAGTTTTCTTGGACAGTCATCTTATATTTAATGCTAAGTGTTTTCCTAAATAACAATCAGGCTGCACTCACACTAACCACCTGTGTACAGACCTGCTGGCCCTGTGGTGTCAGTGCACCCTGATTGTTCTTTTTCATATGGGGTGGCTCAGTGGTACCTCTATTTGCTGGAACATGTAAGGGTGGTTACAGATCTTCCTCAGCTGCATGATGGTGTTCATCAGTGTCTTCGTGCCTCCTTTACCCTGGTCAACACAGTGAGGTAAATCATTACGCATAAAATTACTGGAATTACTTTCATAATTTTCAAACCTTATTCTGGAAATTTTGATATAGAGAAATAGCTCTAGGATAAAATAAGAGTTAGAAAAAAAAAACAAAGAAGGTTTTCCTCAGCATCACCTTCTTGTCTTTCTCTGATCCATCAGTCAGAAGAACTCCCTTGGCCTGCATGTGTCTGTATAACACTCTCTGAAGAGATGACATGTCACACTTGATCACGTACTCCACCTAAAAGTGAAGAGACACATCGCCTGTTAAAGGAACCAAAGAGTGGGAAACATATATTCAGACTATGTAGCTCTGTGTGTTTTTCCCATCTATAACTAGATGTGTTACGTGTGTAAAACCATTCCTTCTCTGGAAGCTGTGCCTCCACTTCTTTCTTTAATCTGCGCAGCAGGAAGGGGCGGAGCACTTTGTGGAGACGGCGAATGATCAAGATGGTTTCTTCTTCATTAAGGTCCACCTAGAAGGAGAAACAAAGGCATTTATCTGCTGATCACAATCAACACTTGCAGACTGCAGTGTTAGTGACAGAGTTCTCCACACCTTCTCTCCAGTCATGGCAAAAGGGGCGTTGAACCACTGCTCAAATGTGCTGCAGCTCTTGAAGATGGTAGGCAGCAGGAAGTTGAGCAGCGCCCAAAGCTCAGGCAGTTTGTTCTGCAACGGCGTTCCTGTGAGGAGGACTCGCCGCGGGGCCAGATAGTGTGTGTTAAGAACTTGGGTCAGTTTGCAATGGTGGTTCTTCATACGGTGGCCCTCGTCCACGATCATGTACTTCCAACGGATCTGGTGAGGATGACACAAGGACAGGACAACGTCCAGATGAAGCGCCGGGCTCTGATGTTCTACAACTTCTCTTCATAGAAAACTCAATCTACTCCATGGAAGGAGTTTGTCTCCAGTGTGTCCTCATGTCCCACACAGGTTTGGTCCAACAGGTGGGAAACTCCCTTGGCTGAGCTGAATACCCACCTTGCAGCACAGTCAGGAAGCCTATATGCCTACATGAGTGCATGGCAGCATGATGGTCACAGAGGACAAAGGGAGACGTGGTTAACAGGCGGTGTCAGTGTGATGCAGGACCTAGGAGAGAGCACTGAAATGCAGCACACAGGGCAGTCAGATTGGCTACAGCATTTTGGGAGCGGGTGGGGATTTGGGATTATGGCAGACATAAACAAACCAAAAATGTGTACAAATAACTAGTACAAATGTGTACATATTTAGAGAGAAATGTTTTCATGAAAATTGTCTTTGTTGGGAATTCCCTTCTACATGTGTTTGTTCCTCCTCATCTCACCTTGGCTAATACTTGTTTATCCTTAATGATATACTCGTAGGTTGTCAGCAAAACGTTAAACTTCCCGCTCCGCAGCTGGGGAACAAAGGCTCTTCTGGCAGCAGGAGACCCCTGAGAGCCAACATGGGGTTAGCCTTGATATAATGTTATAAACTCAACACTTTTATCAAAGTGCACCGTTACTAACCTTGTAGGAGACTTTGACCACCGTTGGTGCCCATTTGTCGAACTCGTACACCCAGTTAGAAAGAGTCCTGTTGGTGAAGCATGATGAAGTTTCAAAGTGAATAAATAATGAGTCAAAACAAAAAACATCTTAGAAGATTCAGCTCACGATAGCGGTACGATGATGAGGTACGGTCCATTGAGACGTTTGTGCTCCATGAGGTAAGTGATGAGGGCAATGGTCTGAATGGTTTTTCCCAAACCCATCTCATCGGCCAAGATCCCGTTAAGATTGTTGTTGTAGAGCGAGACCAGCCACTCCAGACCTTTAATCTAACAGGAAGAGTCAGATGATTAAAACATTTATTTCTGAAAAAAAAAGCAAAAATTGCGTGATTGTCAGGGGTTTTTTTACCTGATATTGTTTGAGTTGTCCATTTATCAGCAGAGTGGACTGTTTCTCCACTTTCTCTGTCACAGCGTGGGCCACAGAGTAATAGGACTGGAGCCCACGGGCAAAGGCCGCACCACTGTACTCGTCGTCCACATCCTGCTTAGCATTCCTAGGAAATAAAAGGGGAATTAGCAGCCTGAAGTCCCACATGTACAAATGTTTTAGATTCCTATGAAAATCTATTTTAAATATATATATATTTTTTAAGTTTAAATACATTTATATATTTTACTCTTTTATTCATGAAATAAGCAAACAGACTCAATGATCGCATGGTGAGCAACATGATGTGCATTTAATCACCAAACTTATAATATATAAATATGTATGTTGAGTTTATATTAATACATATATTGTAATGTTTTCAATGAAGGTTAATCAATTGAGAGTCTGGTCATTTGAACAGGAGTGAAAAATTAAAAATGTAAAAAATGGACTGTATCCAGTGTGGTTATGACTCTTACTCAATGATGTGTAGAACGTCTACTTCTGACACATCCTCACTGTCTGGGTCTGTAATCTTCTTCTTCTCATCCACTGCAACTGCTGAGGGCTGTGGCTCCTCCTCCTCCTCCTGCCAAATACAGTAAGGAGCAGTGTGTCAATGACTGGGGTGAGGGCTGTTTATCAAACATGAGATTTAGAAATGACACAATCACCTCCTCCTCTTCCTCCTCCTCACTGTCCTCGCTGTCTGATCTTGGAGCCACTTCATAGCTGGACATGACAGATCACATATCAAAACCAGTCGTCGTCGTCGTCGTCGTCGTCATCATCATCATCATCATCATCATCATCATCATCATAATGTCATTGTGTAAATGCAGTCTTGGTGGAACATAACAGATCCTTAATATTTGAACATTATTTCACAGACATTTTATTACTAGGCTCAATACAGTACACTAAGTTTGTATGTTCATGTGTACTGCACTGTACCACTGGTCTTACCCAGGGTTCATCTCCAGCCAGGTTTCCAGCTGTCCAGCTTTAGGAGCATCTATGCCTGTTAGGATGTTTCCACTGTCCACGTGGATAACCTTCACAGGAAGGTCACTCATCTGACTGGTCTCATCCAGAGGCTGCAGATAAAGTGAGCGTTTAACATTTACCACTGACTAGTTTAATGGAACTGCGGTAAAAGGTAAAATGGCTGAAGAAAATGTGACAAATCCACAGACAGTTGGACTGAGTATAAATGGAAATCATAACACACTGCTGAAATACCACGACAAAAAGTAAAACTGGCTCGTGTTAACTGTAGCATTAGTTGTCTTATTACAATGACCCACTTATCAGCTGACTGTCACAATTGTCAAATTGGTTTGTGAGGAGACTGTAGAGCAGCATTTTTTAACCTTGGGGTCATGACCCCATGTTGGGGCGCCTGGAATTCAAATGGGGTGGGGGATGAAATGTCAATATAACAGGCTGCAGGTGGGCACAGCAGACCATGACAAAGATCAATCCCTAAGGCTTTGAGTGATATTGGAGCTATGCTTTGTTGATAGGTTGTCTCCATGGAGAACCACCAGGAGTAACAGAGTACCTGATGAGGCTGCTCTGGAGTTATGTGTATTTAGAAGTGTTCTTTTGCCATGAGCTAAAAGCACTGTTTGTTACACTTTGTCGACATTTGGTGAAAATTGGTCTTTAAAGTTAATCGTCTATCTGTGCAACACCTCACCTCTCCATCAGGTCCCAAAGCAGGAGTCTGACCTTCAGCATTCTCCAACTGAAACACAAATTTGTTAAATGAATGAGAAAAAGAGTATAAAAATGCATAACTATATATATATCTATATATCTATAGATATATGTATATATATAAATACTGTATACATAGTATCCATGTTGGTTTTCTGTACCTTCTTCTTCTTCTTTTTCTTCTTCTTCTCCTTCAGGGCCTGTGCAGCCTTGTGGGCTCGGACCAGCTCAGTGAGGTTGGCCACATACTCGTCAGTCTGCTGCAGCAGGTAGGCCAGACGTTTGTCCTTCTTTTGGTCAATTAGTTTACGGTATCCCTCCTCATCCTCTGCCTGGGAATAGATAAATATCACAGTAGATCATACAGCAGCACTGACTGGTGTCACAGCAGGGTGTTGGTGCAATCCTGGTTTCCTCCTACCATTAGTCTCCTCATTCTTTCTTTCTCAATACGTTCATTCTCCTTCTTCTGCTCTCGCTCCGTGTTGGCGTGGTAGGTGGCAACTGCTTTGGTCAGTTTTTGAATTTTGCCTGTGATTGAACGGTGGTACTCCTTAAAGTCTTTGGCGTGCTGAAGGATGCTGTTGAGGTACTCCTGAGGTCACAGTGAGACAAGGGGATCAGACGAAGATGAGAAAACACAGGAGGGAAAAGAAATCACATGAAGGACTGTATATCTCACTGGTTTAAAGAGTGGAATTTATTCAAACTAATATTGAATGAAGAAGGAAATGTTTAGCTCGACAGCTTTTTCGTGTCACAAATGAATGTTTAATGTTTTATGAATGAGGTTCAAATAGATACATTTTCTGAAAAAGCTTCTTAAAAAAACACTGATCTGTGATCGTCTGTTCTACCTGATGCTTCTGCCTGCGTTTGCGCTCCTGCTCAATCTTCTGCTGTTTCTCCAGTTTCTCCGTGATGCGAGCCTCACGCAGAGACTGACGTTTGCTTCGCTTGTAAGCCTTGGCATCCAGGGCAGTTTCTAGAGCCGTGTCGCGGCGCATGCACACCACCACTTCTTGACGCAACTGTAACAGGCAAAAGACTTCTTCACAGAGGGAAAGTGTGACGCTGTAAAGTGAATATTCAGGTGATATAGCACACGTTCTACCTGTCTTTGGAAGTTGAGCAGTCGAAGAGCTTTCAGCTCTATTGTAGCTTTGGTACGTAAATCACCAGCCAGAGAACCAGGAAGGTTCTCCAGTTCTGCGATGCGGTGAGTGATACGAGCTTGTAACCTGAGAATAAAGATAAACAAGCTAGACTACTTGAAACAGTAATCAGTTCTGTACTTCCACATAATTTGGAACACCAACCTAAGTACAAAAGAGTAAAGTAAAGTCACATCCTTTAAGGCCTTTACTAATTGTACCTGTACTCCCTCTCCTGCAGTATCTCCACTGGGTCCAGGCCGCAGGGTTTTTGAATCGGGGTGATACGGTTCTGCTTGGTGTGGTAAGGCATCATGGCAGTAGGCTGTGAAGGCTGGCCAGGAGACTGTGTCTGTGGAGGCATCACTGGAGAGGCAGCCGGGGGAACTGACGGAGGTGCTGGAGACGGCCGGCCAGTTGGCTGTGGGGGGATCAGCTTCTGTGGTGCATTTAAGGGAGCTGCTGCATTGACCAGTGGACCTGACACCACAAAACCAGTAACCAGAGGAATCGATGTCAGTAAATCCTGCTGCTGTTTTTAACAGTGATAGGTAGGTAATATTTTGGCACAACAATGAACGCTGTAGATTCTTTAACTGGGACGTCAAAAGTTAAGTTTTTGAGGAACAACACTTTGCGTTTGGGTTATTAGGTGGAATCAAACCTGAAACCACTGTAGTAAAGACTGCTGTCCATCCACAGAGCCACCACGGCCCCTCAAAAATAAAGACTGATAACAATCACCTGAATGTGTCTGCAAATATTTATATAACAATTGAATTCTTTACTTTTATGGAAGAGAAATGTTCTATAGTTGCTAAAGATCTTAGCATAAGATACTCAGAGCAATTCAACCTAAGTACTGCTGTACAACTGATATGATATCCTGTAAAACTGAACTTGGTTTCAAAGTTCCAACTACAGTTGTAGTTGGAAATCCCTATCTGATGGTGAACTTCTTTGACTTTACAGCCAAAAGACTTACTTTCAGGCCAGGACTTTGGTGGTCCGTTTGGGTTCTGTCCCTGCATCCCAGTTGGGGTTCCTGACGGACCTGGTGGAGGCATGGTGGATCCCATTAAACCTACAAAAAAGAAGAAGAAATAATATCCTTAAGACAAATGCAATGTACTCAGTATATGGATCTCTTGTAGCTTCAAAATGCAAGTCTGGTGCCCCCTACTGTGAGAAACAGTGTATTTATTAGCACTGGTATCACCTGTGTTAGAAATTAAGTTCAGGAAATAGAGTGAATCAACAGTGGACTTTAAGGTATCAACTTTAATGGTTGAGCAAAAAAACATTTGGGAAATGTCAGCTTTTCTGACTGAATGGAAAATGGAAAACATTTCACTCTGAAGTTTTTATTTTTCAGTATACTCACCATGAGCTCGTCCGTAGCCAGCGCCCATTGGGCCAGGCCCTGGGACAGGTCCTGCTGGACCTCCTCCAGCCCCAGGACCCAGGTTTGGCATGGGCTGCTGCTGCATCCCAGGCATTGGTCTCTTCCCTTGGACGGCCATCTGCAGATGGTCTGGCAAAGGCTGACCTCGAGCCAACATCTTATATGCCATGATCTGAGCTCTAAGTTGGTGGAGTTGGTTCTGATTAAATGGTGTCGGACCACCTGGGCCCACTGGGCCAGTGAGACAACCAGATTCTAGGCCGGCCCCAAGACTTGATCCAAGACTGGATCCTGAGCCAGAGGAGCCTGGTGGAGCAGATCTGTTGTTGGAACCAAGTGTGTGCTGATCTCCACCAGGGCCCTCTAAAGGTGTAGAGGTAGAAATTGGGCCTGTAGAGGAGGACGAAGAGGACGACGGGGGCATCAAAGGACCAGACGGGGGCCCATTTGAGGGGACGGGACTGGAATGGTCCGAGCCACCTAATGGAGAGTGATAGCCTAGGCACAGACAAAAACAAAATAGATATAAAAATGTAATTACAATTATTTTTTCAGGACTTAGTATATTTTTAAAATCCATTTTAAAATCACTTTTAATTACCAGAACCAAAAGTTGTTAGGATTTAACTTTTTAACACTTTTTTAACATACATGGATAAAAATCAATGTCTGAAACACACCTGTAAAAAGCTAAGACTAATACTGAAAACATCACAGCTACAGACTTCACTGTAGCTCAGTCCTTTCACATCTCCCCAAAACAAAGTCACAGATAAAGCCTACATTATGATGGGGTATAATCGTTGATATGCAGACCTGAAAGTTTCATTGTCAATACAAACAAATATTTATTTTGTGACATGCTTTTGTGATTTTGAGATTCTAAACTTCCATGCAGTAGTTTGCAGGTTTAATTCCTTGCCTTGATATTAGAAAAATGTATTTGGTTTCTCTTCCAACCTTTTCCTTATGTGTGATCCATGTCCACATTTTCTCGCCTGTTATTTCCTAAAGCTTTAACCTGTGACTCACTGTGTCTAAGTGTCTTGTTTGTTTGTTTCACAACAGACAGCCTCAAAGCTTTTAAGTGTGGTGTGAATACAATCATTCCTCCACAGAAAGTCCATGGTTTAGAACAATTATTCTCAAGGAATGAGCCAGGACTCACACGTGAAGCAGAGTCTTCTTCCCTCTCTTACTTTTAGATGAATAAAAAACAGCATCGCATCATGATGCGTTTTATTATGTCGTCCTAATCTGGACGGTTTGTTTAACTGTTCAAATCAATGTCAGGGCTGAAATATGTTGGTTATTTCATGTCAAGGTTGTGTTCAGCGCCGGTCTGTTGAACAATCCTGATCATGATGGATGACTGATGTTAAACTCAGCAGTCCCCATGACTCAAACACTCGAGGAAGGCATGCCAAAAAGGAACACGCACTCTCTTACCCAATACTGAACAGGACAGTGTTGCTCAAGTGAGGCACTCCTACCTTGTGAGTGTTGGTCCAGAGGACTGGGTGGAGGCCCCATACCACCGTGGCCGCTCTGTCGCATGGACAGTCCCTTCATCTGACTAAAGCGGCTCTCCTCACTCAAGCTCTTCTCATGCAGGCTTTCCATAGGCTGTGAGAACATTTATATGTCAAGATGGAAATATTGGTTTGGGCATAAACACTTGTTCTCTATCAATTTTTAGGAAATACTTTTTGCCTAGTGTTTCACTGTTTTTGCATGACTGAGACATATAACTGTAGAATAACATGAACTATTAGGTAAAACACATTGTGTCTTATGCTAGCCACACTAAACAGTGTTCTCTCTTAAATTTTTAACTGATTAACTAATTTATTAATTAATGAAAACTGTTTCCCATTATGAGACTTTTAAGGGCTACAAAAATAAGCACACGTTTGTCTGAACCATCAGTGTTTCTCACACATTATAAACCGATGAGTTTGACATTCTGTACTCATGTGATGCAATCATTCATCAGCCCAATTATAAATGACAAAGACAGTGTTTCCTAATGGGACAGTGCATTGGTAACAGGATCCTCACTTTGTGCAGAGCATGCATGTTGTCCTGACCATATCCAGAAGGCCCTGGCTGAGAGTGTCCAGAGGATGGAGGACCAGGGCTGGGACCCATCATGCTGTGGGAGGAACCTGGAGAGGGCCCAGGGCTGGGACCCAGCATTGCACCAGGGGAGGGCCCCGGACCAGGAGAAGGACCTGGGCGTGGGGTGCCCACCATGGGGGGTGGATCTGGTGTGGACATGTCTCTGGATCTCCTGCCTTGGAGTGAACAGTGGAGGACAGAATAAAGAATAATCTATGCAAAACTCAAAATAAGAATATGATACATATAATAACAATAACAAATAAGCACACGTCTGAGTTCTTTATTGATTCGAAAGCCTACCAAGATTTAACACAGTGAACATAATATTTGACTTTAATTTTCTAAATAAGGAAGGCGACAAAATAGAGGAAACATTTGTAGGGATGGTGTTTTTTTTTTTGAAGGCGACAAAATAGAGGAAACATTTGCAGGGATGGTGTATTTTCTTCTGCGCCTGTCAGAGAGAGGACTGTCTGTACCTGCTCTGCTGCGACAAACCGCTCGTTGCGTCTGAATGTTTAAATAGCTGCAGCTGGACTGAAGATAAATGCCGGCAAATAATCACATATCCACATGAACACAGACGTGGCTGGGAAACATCCTCAGAAACAAAATGACAGCGCTTCTTGTTGAATTATATATAAATGAATGAGGGGAATGGCGGACCGTGCTTGTGCGACTGACCTACCCGCGTCAGCAGGACGCACGGTCCCGGCCGCACGTCGGTGCTCCCCGGCGGGTTTCTGCGGGAGAAGTAAGAAGGAGCAAAACGGCCACAATTAGCGCTCTGACGCTCTTTTTAATGTGCCTCCGAGTCTCGATGTGTTCAGACGTGCTTGGAGCGCCCCCTCCACTGCTCTCATGACCGAATGTCTAGTCACTGCTGCGGTGATCTGCGCATGTGTGCGCAGCGACGACAGTGCTGAATTCAAACAGGGCGTCAGGATGGAGTTAAAGGCTCATTCTGCTGAAGCTCCGTAACACGAACACTGTTTTATGGCTGAAAAGTAACAATTAACAGTTTATTACATGTATACTTGACACACAATTATTTACAAACTGTCTGTGTAATAAACAGGGAAATTTATACCAGCGCTACAAGCGTTTTTATGTAGCTGCAGTTTGTGCCTTCATCTTCCAGTACATGCTAATTCCTCTTTGTGATCACACCTGTGAGAGCACTGATGAAAGGAAGTGCCACAAGCTTCTCTTGAAGTCCTTCATTGACAGCCATTTTCCCCCTCATTCTTATTGGAAATCTGAGGGGAAATACATGACATGTTAATGTATTCATGAAAACCAACACTAAATAATCAATGTACAGAAACAACTGAAAAACAAAAAACTGTTACACAGCAGTAAAATGTCTGTGTATGTTCTCATCCACACTATACCTATTACCATACAGTAGTGTTTCCAAAACTTATTTTCTGGGGACCCATATTTTAAAAGTCACAAACTTTCACGACCCAAGTCAATAGACATTATTCGTAAACTCCTGGGAAACATGAGGCTAGATGACCCAAAACAAAAACAAAAAACGGCCCAGTCTATGGGAAACAATGCCATACACTGTGTTCAACTGAAGGAACAAATGAGCAAAAGATAAAAACTGAATTGTGATTCCAGTGTTTTAATTTTCATCAGGTAGACAAGTCATCATCAGTAGTGCAGGAGGAGCCTTCATG